GTATATGGTCAGGGTTAGGATATAAAGGCTAAAAAACATGAATTGAAGTCAATGGAAGATCCCCACAGGGTCAAGAAACAAACGTGTGTGTGGTGGTTGTGGTGGTGGGCCATGAAATTATTTTTTATAAACCAAAGCAGGGGGGGCATCAGAAAAGGTTTGGGAACCACTGTGCTAAAGGAAGGTGAAGCTAAACAACAGTCTATTCAATCAACTTCATCCTGAACAAAACCAAAATATATCCAAATCTAAGAATGAAAATCTCCTGAACCCATGACTTATTCACAGTGAAACATGTAACAYATCAAATATTTGATACTGTTTCAGGAAACACATCAAGTTTCAACACTTGATCTGTTCACTTTGTCTCAGTATGAATAAAATGTGAGTTTATGAGTTTTCCAAATCATTGTGTTGTGGTTTTTACACAAAGTCCCAACTTAGTCAGAACTGTTGTGTTCGACACCAGTAAAAAAATTAAAAAGAATAAATAAACAACTTCTTACTGGTCAGTTTGTGAAATTACCTGCATGATCTTGCCATCTTTGCCTCTGTAGAGCGTGTAGAGYTGGTAGGCTTTGTAGCTGTGAGGAGGAACGGTGGGATAAGGGAAGGACCCTGATACTTTACTTCTCCTTTTGTGAAGGACCTCCCTGGTTCTGGTATCTCTGGTCCTGGTCTCCCTGGTCCTGGTCTCTCTGCGACGTAGACGGTGGGACAAAGAGGGCTGCGACAGCAACATGAAGTGACTTCAGGAAAGATTCGATTTCACAGAAAAACAGAGGAGTTCGGAACTTTCATGTGGAGAAACGTTACCTTTTTTCTCTGCCGCCTGGTCTTCTGTCTCCTGGTCCTGGACCCGGACCAGTCGCTGCTCTGACCATTGTCTGCAGCCGATACACTGTCCTGCAAAACAAAACAAAAATAAGAAMATTTTTATTGGTGTTGTTTTTAAAGTGTTTCTGTTGTTTTCATAAGAGAAAGTCCTGAAGAAGACGTGTCGTCACGCAGYACACTGTGTTTACAGTAGGAAACATCAACGCTACATGTTAGCATGTTAGCATGTAGATCCATTCTGAAGTTGTTCTATCAGAGCCAGTAAACTATTATCTGATGTGATTGTTTGGTCCAATGCTTCCAWCTGATCCTGCTGCGTCCTGCTCTGGAGCACAACACCACTTCTGGAGCGAATGAAAGTGAAAACAAACTCCATCTGGATCCATCATGCTGATTGACAGTGGTGGGCAGCGCTAATCCAAAATTTAGCTCCACAATTTCTAAAGCACCTATGCCATAGAAAAACTAGCGGAAGCTAATTTTAAAGCACAAGTTCAATTTGACACTTACTAGCTGACAATTCATGTACAATATATACACAACACTGACAACTAGCGGTGTATGAATCCTTG